TCTATCTATTTCAGGCTTTTGATATCATCATCTATTTTAATACTATTGACATACCCGATTTTTCGGTTTACCTTTGGGGAATTCTTTTGGTCCCCTCCTTTGTGTCTATTCTTTCTGTGTCCTTTTATTTTGAGTGTGAATTTTGTAAATAGTTTACAGTCGGATTTTGTTTCTTGCATCACCTTGACATTCTTTAAAAATAGAGTTTAATCCGTTCATAATCATTTTGAAATGAGTAGATTTGGTTTTCTCCTTTGTTATGCTTCCTGGATGTTTTCTTTTTTTCACTTTCATGTACTTTGATATTTGACTAATTTTTTATGCTTCTTTTTTTCCTCCTTTAGTGATTTGGGAGTTATGCATACGACTATTGTTCTGTGTATTCAAATCTTTTAAATCAATGTCTAGAGTGAAACATTATCTAGTGACCACCCCTCCCTTCATCAACAGTGAAAATACCTTCTCTCCCTTCCCTGGCATGCACTCCCAACTTTTGTTTAAAAAAAATTTTTTTTTGAACTTTAGATCCAGATTATTACGTTGAAAATGCTCAATATGCACCTTATTTTTCAATAAAATATTTTCACATAACCACCTCATTATTTATTGCTTAGGCTTAACTATGTTTTGCCATTTCATTGCTTGATGCTATTTATATTGAAATCCCACTGGTGTTCAGTCTTGAGTTCTTTATTTTGACTTCTTTCTCAGTAAGCTTGAGTAAATATTAATAGTATACAAAGCATAATTTCTGCCCTTGCATGTCCGAGATTGCCAGATCCCATTTTAAAATAATACCTAAAAGTTTTAGAGTCAGAATAAACTGGATTCAAATCTTAGCTCTTCTTGGTGCTGGCCCTGTGACAATGGGGAAATTTTTTCACCTCTCTGACTCAGTTCCTTGTAGTAGAATGGAGGTAACATGAGCTACCTTACAGGATTTGTAAGGAGTGTACAGAGTGAAGTGGTTGTCCACTTAAGTATATATTGGCACATGGCAGCCAGTCAATAACAGATTGTTATTGTTAATCTTTGCACACTACTATCTTTGTTTATTCACATCTTAATAAAATAGTATGAATGTTATAGGTAGTCAATTAAATTATTATTGTTTTAATTTTGGAGACATAATTTGCATGCAATAACATGGGCAGATCACATGAGCATAGTTTCATGCATTTTCAAAATTGCATGCATCTGTGTAATTACCACTCAGGTCAAGATAGAGAATTTTTCCATCATCCTTCTTCCTTCCAGGCAATTACTCTTCATCCTGATTTGTGTTGTCATTGGCTAGTTTTGTCCAATCTCAGGCTTCATATAAATGAAATCATATTATTAATATACTATAAATACTCTTTTGTGTCTGTCTTCTTTGTTCAAAATAATGTTTTTGAGGTACACCCTGTATGGCATGTGTCAGTAATTTATTCTTTTTTATTATGTTCAGTAGTATTTCATGGCATAAATATATCAAAATTTGTTTTTCCATTCTCACATTTATGGATATTTGGGTTATTTCCAGTTTAGAGCTATTATGACTAGATTACTATGAACATTCTTGTACAAGGCTTTTTGTAGTCATTCCTCTTGTGTAAATACCCATGGTGGAATTACTGTTTCATAGGGTAGATATATATTTGATTTTCTAAGTAACCACTGAACAATTAAAAAGTTGCCATATCATTTTACTGTACCACCACCAAATTGTAAGAGTTCCAGTTGTTCATAATTAATCATTTGGTATTTTATAGAAATCTACTTTGTCTGATGTATAAATATATCAACTTGCTTGTACTTAGTGTTGCATGGTATAGCTTTTTTCTCACCCTTTTCTTTTTAACCAGTCTGTGTATTTACATTTTTTAAAATTTCTTTTGTAAGCAACATATATTTGGGTCTTGTTTTTTATCCAGTCTGACCATCTCTGCCATTTAAATAAAGTGTTTAGTTGGTTTACATTTTATATAATTATTGATATTTGGAGGTTTAAGCCTCCTATGTTGACTATTTTTTTACTTGTCTTAACTGTTTTTGTTCTTGTGTTTCTCCTTTCCTGTCTTTTCTACTAATTGAGTACTTTTAGAATTCTATTATATCTTCTCTATTGATTTTGATTTTTATTATGTTTTTTCTAATCATTACTCTAGATGTTTCAACACACATCCATAACTTATTCATGTTCTAGCTTGAAATATTATATTGCTTCACAAATTATGTTAGTTTTTGAATTTTATAATGCCAATTTGTCCACATATATACTCTTTATATTCTCATTGCCATATATTTTACTTATACATATGTTGCAAATCCTATAATGTATTGTTATTAATGTTGCTTTAAATAGCCAATAATTTTTTTAAGAATTTTTTTCACATTTACTCTTTCTGGTCAATATTTATGTCATCTGTGGATCTAATTCTGCTGATTATTTTTTCTCTTAATTATGGGGCACATTTACTGCTTTTCAGTATGTCTCATGCTTTTTTATTATATGTTGAACATTGTATGAAAAAGAACAGTAGCAAGTTATATTTTCCCCAGAAAAGTCCATATTCCTTCTGATATCAGGCTTCTAGGGTGGCATCCAAGTCAACCTAATCTGTAGATGAGCTGGGTCTGGGCTTTTTTGAAGATTTAGTTAGATTCATTTTGCCACTAGCATCAAATATGAGGAAAGATAAGGCTTATCACTTTAGCAGGAATTTGCCCAATGGAGAACTCTCTGTTTTACACACAGAATTTATGCTGCCAAGTTTTAAGGTCATTGAGGAGTTCTTTTTCTCTCCATCATTATCCACAACTTTCTGCAAGTTGGAAGATCTCTCTTCAACCTAATGGTCTATCCCTAGTCTTTGATAAACTGTTACCTTGTACTCAGTGAAAATTTTGTGTACTTTGGGGGAATTTCTCTTAATACTTCTATCCTACACTTAGCCTTTGGTAGGATTCTGCCATGCCCCTTGACTAAATTAAAAAGAATTATGATTCTTAAAAATAAATAATTTCCTAACAGTGTAACAATAGCTTTACTTTGTCACCTATTGCTTCTAGCCAAGTTATATAGAACTTTACATGTAATTAATAAATAAAAAGTAGCTGTTCCCCTGCTTTAACCTGAGGCAAGGGTAAATTTCTCAGGCAAACTATATTACTATACCAGTGTTAAGTCCAGATTCATTTTAATCAAATAAAAGTATTAAGAGAACATATGTTTGATAATACTAACAAACATGCTTATTGCTGATTATACAAAAAATACTTATGGTTTGAAGTTCATGTGCAAACACCAAACTAAAAAAGCATGCTGTTTCTTTTATTTGCAAAACCATGGCCAAAACTGCATTAGTTGCAAGCTCACATTCACGTGCCAGAGATGCCAGAAGCAGACACCTGGTCACGTTGTACATGGCTGTTAAACTTTGAAAGAGTAGGCAATGTCTTATTTGCTTTTGGGTTTCTGGCACTAAACATGGGGTTCAAAAATAACCTTCAACAAACAAAACACAGATATCTAAAGTGATAAAACCAGTCAAGATTCCACTGGCATTTCTTATGATAATGAGTGTTTTCCCAGAAGCTATGAGTAGGATTTATTTCTGGGTCACCTAGCCTATTCGTCCGACTCAAACCTGTCTTGGAAAAGGGAGCATCCCTCTCTACCTTCTATGAAAGTTCTCTCTCGGTTGTCCTAGACAGCCCCTGCTCCCTAGATACAACATCAGGCATAGCGGACGGCGTCTCCCACGGCCCACTCAGGTCTTGCTATGATACCCTGGATGAAGGAATTCTTCCCAGAAGCTGCCCTGCTCCCCTGAGATGGGGTCGATGTGGTTCCTAACAGAGGGACTCCGACCTCCCACACTCCCTGCGTGTCCCATTTCACTCGCTTCCACCTGGAGAATCCTTTTCCCTGGGCTACCAGGAAGAGCCAATCTGGTCTCCTGGCCTCGCTGCCTGCATCTTACTGTACTCCAGCTCTCCACACACACAGCAGTCTCGGTTCTCTGAGCTTTTGGTCATGCTGCTCTCTGTGCCTGGGACGTCCTCCCAGCCCCACCTCATCCCCCGTTGCCTCGGCCAAGTCCACAAGTCTGTAAGATTGAGCCCAGCATGGGGACTTGAGGAAGGCTTTCAGGAGGAAATGATAGCTGAAGTAAACACCCCACATTGAAGCATGCACCTGTTTTCCCAAGTGTCCCTTCCAGCTACACTGGACTCTGGAATGTTCCAAGAGGGAGACCCCAACTGATCATTCTTGTTTCCACTATTTCTGGATGTAGTGATTAGTTCATAGTAGCAGCCCATAAATATTTATTCAACTGCCTTAAACTGAGACTGGCTCATGCCTCTCCTGCTCTGTGTTCTCCTAACATGGTTGGGAGTCTCTTCCTCAGGGCCACTACAGCTACTTTCCAAGAGTCTGGGGCAGAGGAGCTGAGCTTGTTCATATCTAAACACCCCTGATTCTTTTACTTCACTTTGGGACAGGCAAGGTCATGGCTCAGAATCCTTGCTTTAACTCAGTGACCGTCAGCTTGCTAATCTACCTCTAAGTCTTTGTGTAACACCACAGGAGAGTGAAATATTTATTTTGTGATTCTTTGACTAGTCAGATATTACCTAATACTTGATTCTAGAATAAGCAAAGTACACTAGAAGACTTAATCATCATGAAAAATCCATAGGAAAAAAGTTTTCATTATTTGCGCACATTAATTAATTTTCGTTTTGTTTCAAATTGAGAGTGATAGCCACTGTCTAACCTTCGCCAGTCTCTGCCATGGGACACATGTTGCATGGGAGTGACATTTGAGAACCTCTGCTCCAGTTAAGCTCGGTAACAGTTACATACACCACCTATCAGCAATGAGTTATTTTGGTTTGTGAAAATATAACAGACCTTATTTGGACTGATGGTGCTTGCTTCCTGAAACAGACTCATACCCCTACCTTGGTTACTGAAGAGAGTAACTGTTTGCCATCTTTTTCCTTCTCAGGCTGTGAGGTTGAGATTCTTGGTGTCAGACCTACGTACTGCCTAGAATATAAAAATGTCCCGACGGATATCAATTTTGCCAATGCAGTCAGCGATGCTCTTGACTCATTCAAGTAAGTGTCCTGAATTCTCAGCCATACCACTGTTCTTCTTTGCTTCCAGGACACACATGGATCCTAAAGTGAATTGAGAAGGCCTGGTGGTGGTGAAATAATAATGTCTCAGAGAGCGGTGAGCCTCTTGCATGGTGATGGTTAACTGATAGTAGAAGATAATTGTGAGCAAGTGACTTCACTTTTGCAGGAGCAGTCTCTGGAAATGTTTAATTGACAGCAAGAAAGTCTCCAAGGGTTTGGGACCTCCTTTTTTATTAATATGTTATTGGACAATGGAGAAGCAATGTAAATGTCAGCACTTCTCTAATAATGATTTAGTGAACCATTGTATCTCAGAAGATATTAATAAGTATTTGGCAGAAAGGGAGGATCTGTGGTCAGATAACTTTGGGAAGATTGCCCACCCTAACCCTTCTTGCAAATGCACAAAGTACATTATTAGCATATTAGAACACAGAATCTGTTTCTTCCCTCCCATGTGGAATCATGACATGCCATTTGAAAAATGTAGAAATCAGTAATGTTATCCTGAACGGCACACATGAGTCTGTCAGGGAAACTGATCAACAAGACATATCAGGACAACAAGGTCAGGACAAAGCCTCCAGTCAGTCTCAGAAATCACTGGAAGTGGAAGATGGGAGACGAGTAGGGGTCTGCATCAGAAACCAGCAACCAAGAGGCTCAGGGTGTTGGGGGCTCTCAGGTTTCCAGGGGTGGACTTGAGGCCACCTTGGCTGCAGAGTGGGCTTCCTGGGTGTGGCCAGCCTGGCAACCCACAGGAATCAGAGAGTAGAGACCAGGGTAGGACTTTCATCCTCCCGGAGAAGGAGCCTGGTTTCAAGCCAGCACGCCCTAAGAGCCAGCGTGCGCTAAGCCCAGCGCGCAGATCACTGGCACTACGCACATGAACCGGCCTGCGACCGAGACTGCTCCAGACACAGAGCTGACCCGATGCGGGCTTTGTTCTTGCCACGCCCGCCTCATCCTGGTGAGCAGCCACCACCCCCACAAATCTATAAAAGGAGAAAACACCACCCTTCCTTCACCGCTTCTTAGAATGATCCCACTCCCAATGAAAGCTATCAAAAGGGCCCTTTGGGCACATCAAGGTTCATGCTCTGATTGACAGGTTGGAGAGAAAATGGATTTAAAATACTTAAAAATTGAGAAGTAACAAATCTAAAAGTATAATTCTTTTTTTCTGGGGGAAGAAGGAAGGAGCAGAGTCTGGGGGAGTAACCTTTAAATAAATACTCTTCAGATGGTTTGCAAATCCTGTGTGTTATGTGATCCTGCCTCCTACCTACTCTCCTTTCTTTTTCTTGCCCACAAGTGCTGGAAAACCACACATGTGGCAAGCTGGAATATTGTGCCGCAGGCTGGCTTTGTGCAAGCCAAGCAGAACAGCATGGCACGCGCAGCAGCGGGCCGAGCTGGAACTCTGGGACAGCTCCACGTGCAACCAGTGCTGCTTCCAATGTGTCCAAAACCCTAGCCATCCCCACAGCCCACTGCCTTGCCACTTGCGAAAATTTGGATTATAGATGTCATACAAATACCTCCAAATTACCCAACAGTCTGTTCGGCAGTGTCATCCTTTTCACGTTATCTCGCCGTAACAGCCGAAGGGACTCCCGCTCTCTGCCACCCACCGACCACAGGTAGAACAGCACACAGCGCGCAGCCGAGAGCACCCCGGGGCACTGCTGGCCCCCAGACTGCCAGTCTAAGCAGACTTCCCTGTGCTGAGGGACACCAGAATGCGGAGGGATAAGTACTGGGCTCTCTTTCCTCTAGAGAAGCTCTTCTTTTTCCCTTTTCAAGCATGACAAGGCGACAGTATACTGGGAATGACATCTTTACCTTGGAGAACATTTAGGAATGGGGAGGGGTTTGGTAGTGGTGGCGATGGTGTGTGTGTGTGTGTGTGTGTGTGTGTGTGTGTGTGTGTCAATTACCAAAGGCATTGGGTTCCACTGGAAAGAAAAGGCTACAAAAAGCCAGAAGCCCAGGGAAGTGGCCCCAGGCCAGGGCTCTACATGACATGTCCTCTAATGTGTCCTGGGCTGCCACCCTGCCCAGCACAGCACCGTGCATAATGTAGTCTGGGGAAATGGCCCTGAGCTCCAGGGATGCGACATGAATGATGCCCTGGGAAGATGGAACCAGGCCAGTGCAATTGTCTTATGGGGTCTTCATGCTACCAAAGTTGACAGGACACCAGAGACAGCCCCCTTGCAAATAGGTGGGAAGATGGAGCCCCACCATCTCTAAAACTAGTCAGTGCTTGAAAGGAGAGAGACAGAGGAAGAACAGTAATAGTCTGGGGGAGGCAGCGATGACTTAGACCCTCCCCCAAAGACAAAGCAGGACCTCCTTTCAGCTATCCCCTGCATTCCCTTCTTATAAAGGACTGAAAATTGTAGGTCAACATTTTTCTTTAAAAGGATCCAAATTTAGTCCTCTTTAGGAGCAAAGTAAGAGAAGTGTCCAGTCTAGAATAGTCTAGACCAATCAAGACCACTTTGCATGTAGCAGAATGTCCATGCAATAATGTGGCTCAAAGGAATCATTAATTCTCTTGGCATGTCTAGACCAAGAGCATAATTCTTTATCTTTCCATGAGAGAGCCCTAAAAGGAAGAGTGTGTCTAGAGCTCCATAGCTGACCTCTTGCTTTCTGTCCAGCTCTGTGGGAGGGCACTCAGAGTTTTTGTACCCGAGCGTCTCTGAGTCAGCACTTGCCCATGGCATGTCTTTCTTTGCCCACTGTTCTACTAGTCTGAGCAGCAGGGAGAATGGGACCCAGGATAGGTGGGCTTCAGCAGAAAGCAGGCGGGGCTGCTCAGATCTTGAACAAGGAGGTCTGCAAGGGATGAGTCAGTGCAGGGTCACCTGTCTGCAGGAGGGACAACCCATTGTTCGTACTTGACCCGGGCGTGGCTCTCTGTGCTCATATGCTTTATTGGCCCAGTCGTACCCTGGGGGGCGCTCCCTTTGGACTCAGACAACTTCTGGCACAGAGCAAAGGAGAGGGAAAGAGAACTGACGTTGTTGACACCCGTCTTCTAGCATTGTGTCAAAGGGCCTTATTTCCAGTGACCTATTTTGCTGTCACGCCCACCATATTACGTAGCTGTCGCTCTCCCCAGCTCACAGAAGAGGCTGCCACCTGTCTGAAGGTCGTACACCTTGCCTGGGCTCTCTCGGGCTAAGAGGTGGTGGAGCCAGAGCCCTGCTCCTTCCACAGGGGCTCTGCGCCCCGTCTCCTGGGGCCCCCTGAGTGTGCAGGGACTGAGAACTCTCCAGGGTCAGCCCCTGAGCCCTGCACCCGGGTCTGCACCCACACCTCTGAGATGCCCTGGAGCAGAGCCGGCTTGGGACAGGAGGTTGAGGTCCACCTCCATGCAATTCCCCTCGTTGGGCCGTTCCAGGGCCTCGGGCTCTGAAGGGCTACGGAGGAATGCAGCCCCGCACCCTGCACACGCTGTCCCTCCCCTGTCAAAAACGAAAGCAGTTTGTGGTCAGCATCACTTAATCCAACCTCCCAGAGGTTCTGTTTGTGGGATATTCATGGTTCCATGGGCAGGAAGAGGTGCTTGGTGCTAAAACCCAAACAAGCCTCAGGTGGCTCACAGACTGGGGGTGATGGGAGGAATGGGAAGACACCCACAGCCAGACCCGGCTATCTAGAGGGGACCCCGGAGCGGACTGACTGTGTGGCCTCACAACACGGTTGTCCAAGGAACAGCTGTGCTGCAGGAGCAGTGGGCCCAGCCAATGTCCTTGGCCAAGCTCCAGGCTGTTGAAGACTCCAGAGGTTGCCTTTCGGGACTCCAGGGCCTCAGAGGCCGCTGGCACTAGTGAGGGCATGGATGGATGATGGCGCAGCCCTTTCCATGAGCCACGACAAAGCTGGCTCTTGTGTCCTGGCCTTGGTCCCTCCTCCCTGGGGACTGCGGGGAAGACGGGACAGGAATCAGGCTCAGACTCAGCAGAGCCTGGATCCTGCTCCCTGCTCCACACACGTACTCAGGAAAGCGATCCAGGGACATCTGGAAGGAAAGGGGACACGGGAGGCATTTCTCTCCCCCCCCTTCACTGTGTGCCAAGCGCCTTGCAAACATCGGCTCCTTTTAATACCCAGCAAAGCCCTCTTAGTAGATTTTTCAGATGGGGAAACTGAGGCTTGCAGACACTTTTGCGGTTCATCTGAGACCTCCAGGTTAGTGAGAAGAGAAGCCAGGGTTTCATCCCAGATTTGTCTAGTTCCAAGGCCCCTGTCAAAAGAGAATTTTCAAAGTCAAAACTTTAGCATGTGTCCAAATGAGGATTACACCAAAGTTCGGCCCAGTTTCTCTCAGAGGGGAGCCGGACGGATGACAAGGCCGGTTAAACGGAGGACGTGGGAGCCGCACACGCACAGGTGAAGACACAGAACGGCGGAGGATGATGGGGTGCGGCTGTTGTCAGATGCAGATACGATAGTAACGTAGAGGATAATCCAACCACAGTTCCTGGGACTGCTTTCTCTCTCAGCCAGACATAATTTTTATCTTATTGGTTTCCTACAAATTAACAGCTAGGTTTACAGAGTCTGAAATCTAAGCAGCAGTGAAATCTGTGACTCCAGCAAGCTTCTTAGACAGTGCTCTAACATGGCACTGACAGACAGTCATTTTGGGGGCCTTATTTCTCAGTTATGAAAGATTTTCCTTAACAGTCAATAACGAGCCATTTCTTTAAGCTGCCTCTATTTCCCTCTCCCTAGTCCTTTTCTTTTTACAGCCCACTTCAGTAGGAAAAATGGATGTAACATTATGAACTTTTTTATGGCAGAGAAATTCAGACAGAACCTTAAGGTGATGGGAGACTCGAGTGTCCCTGAAACCCCAGGACTGGGCGCCCCTTGCAGCTCGCAGGTAACTGGGCTGATGGCCACACATCCTCTGGCCTGGTTCCTGGACCCTAGAGCCGTGGCTGGCCAATAGCAGATGTGCAGACGTGGCCATGCATCTCTCCTCGCCCAGCCAACCCACTGCAAGTGAGCTAACCTGGGACGGAGTCCAGACCCATGTGGAAAACAGCTGGCAACTAGTCTGCCAGCCACACTTCAGACAGGCAAGTGCTCTCAGCCCTTGAAGATTTAGGTCTCCAGTGATTCAGTGAAACTTCAACGTAGAATCCTTGCACAAAAGGCACGTGTATAATCCCTGAATTGCACGCATCCCAGAGCCAGTGCTCCTGGCATCTGGGGTTGATAGCTTCCCGATGCAAAGCCGTCAGGTAAATTGCAGCAGTTACTGGCTTTCTGATCACATGGAGATTTGGGAAAATGGTAAATAGTCCCGAAGAAACCAGCCCAGTGATTGCTGCATTAAGGTGAAGTGTCTACTAGGAAGAGACATAAAAGTATTTCATTGAACTAAAGAGCAACAGTTAACTTTATTCCTGAAAACTCCTCACCGTAGTAAGTCACCAATGTATTAAATAGGATTTTCCTTACATAGAAGCCCTGGCCCGGAAGTGTGGACACCTAATACATAGGATATACTACCAGGTGTGAATCAGCACACCTGGAATGCTGAAGATGCAAGGACCTAAAACAACTAAGTGCTGAGGCTTCTCTGAAGGACAGATTTTATGGAAATTTCCATGATGTTCAAATATAGCAGTAGAGAAAGTGTTATCAACTCAGTCAGTCTAATGAACATGGGCCTCAAAAAAGTTTCAGCATATGTATTAAAACGCTATTATCTAGTATGAGCTTTTACCCACCACCTACACACTTGTGGGACCCTAAAGTGACTTTTTGTTCTCTGCTGTCTATAGATGCAGAGGGAGTTTGGATTAGTCATTCACACATTAGTGAGTATGAATAATGATAATATCATTTGTGAGAAAGACCTACATAATAACCTAATGCAATCCACAGTGTGGAGGAGGGTGGTAATGGGGCTTATTAATGGGGGGCTAGTTTGTTTTATTCCAAGAAGAGAAAAGAACATCTGACTAGCAATTTCACTTAACTTGAAACCAATATATCCTCCAAACCACTAATGAAGCAAACCTCAGGGTCCCCAGCAGAACATCACGGCATCACGAACGAGTGTGCTCACCTGCAAGTATGGCCAGAATGAGGGAAGATGCCAGGCAGAACAATCTGGAACTTGCTCCCCAACATACTGGATGGAGTAGATGTGGATGTTCAAAGACCCAGTCTGGTGTAGAGTTAAAAGTGTTCTGACTACAGACGTGGAAGATTTGCATTTCCAGTTCTAGTCCTGTCTCAGAAATCTGTGGAGCCTTGAGTAACTTCTAGGACCCTTTTAGGCTTGTTTCCTCATCCGTATCTGCAAATGCTTCCCTGGCGTTGCAGTTCCAGACTTTGGAGGCATATCGAACACAGACTCAGAGTGCAGAGCATCCGGAAGTGGAAGAGACTCAGCGTCACGGTGGTGCTCTTGCAGCTCTCTAGGGGTTGGTAGGGTTCTTGTAAGAGAATAAGAACCATTTCCAAAGACAAGTTGGGCTAAGCAGAACGTTTCCTCGTTGGCACGGGCTGCCAAGTTCTTCGAGAGTATTCAGTGGTGGTGTTCAGGGCCGTGGAGTCAGCCGTGCCTGGTTTGGACCCTGGCTCCACCCCTTACTAGCTGTGTGATGCTGGAAACTGTCTCGAACTCTGTGTTCAAGACATTCTCAAGTTTTGAGGATTAAATAAGGTAATATATGTAAAAGCCCTCCAAGTAGTGCCAGACCCATGGGCGCTGTCATTTATCAAGCCCTTACTGTTATCATGCACTCAGCCGGCAGTTACAGAGCTCCTGCTGTATGCCAAACGCTGGGCTAGCGCTGAGACACAACGGACAAGGAAGCATCGCCCCTAGGGTGAAAGAATCTCACAGTCTAGAGAGGGAAAGGACACATAAATGGGTAATTAAAGGACACAGTTTAAAAATTCACAGCCCATAAGAGACCCTAGAGGGCTGCGGTGCACACAGGAGGGCCACCAGGTCTAGGCTCGGGCATCAGAGGAAGCTTCTTGGAGAGGCGATACCTCCCCTGGGACCTGGAGGGAGCAGGGGCTGTTTAACAATGAACACTGGGCTCTTTTCCCTCCCCTGTGGACGGCAAGACCCACGGCATGCGGGCCGAGGATGAATCCTTTCAGTCCTCATGTTGCAGGTGTTGGGAGGCCATGGCGGGGGAAACCATGCCAGCTCATTGCTTGTGTGTGTATGTGTGTGTGTTTAAAACAGAGTTTTTCAAGAGAAATAAGGCAATCTGCCAGGAGTATTAGCTATTAACCCTTGTAAAGTCCAAGCAGAGAAATCAGCTTTGATTTCCATTGCTTCACCTTGTGTCGGTCACTGCTAACATCATCATCATCATCATCATTGCTCTGATCTATTTCAGGTGCTTTACGGGGAGGGCACGGGCACAGCCAGAGCTGGGGAGGGACTCCCGGTGGGAAGCACCATGGAGAAAGGAGAGCTCACTCCACGGCACTCCCCTCCCCTCCCCCGCTGGCCCTGCCAGCCTCCTCCTCCGATTCATGTCACTAGTGCCCGGTCACTGTGAGCCCAGCATCGAGGGTGAAATAGTTTGGAGTTTTACAATCAATACTCCAGCTCAGAGGGAACGTTTTGTCAGAACTGGGCCTTCCTGGAAGTGTGGTCACTCTCTCTCTGCATTGGAGCTGACCCTTCACATGTCCCCGTAGCACCAGGGTCTTGGGGTGTCTGCTGATGACAGGCCCTGAACCTGGGGTGTCTGCTGACATCGGGGCCCAAACACCCATCTGTTCATCTCCCACAGGGTTGCTGAAGCAATGCTGTTCTTATTCTTGCTGGTCAAGTAGACACACAACGTAGCACTTTATTTAGAGAAGTCCTTAAAGTCCAGCAATACCTGAGCAGTAGTTATTCAAATGGTTGCATGGCGGGGGGTGAGGGCGGAGCTATGAGAACTAGCTTCTGCCTGAGGCCACATCCTCCCCCTCTTTGGAGCATGATGAGCAATACCATCTGGCCAAGAGGGGGTGACAACAGACACGCTCTCTCACTTTCACCACCAAGGTGCTCAGGCCTGGCAATCTGTGGTTCCGTGTGCCGGTTTTTTTCCTTGGACAGCTCCCCCTGTTCCTTCTAAGGTGCTGGCCCGCGGGCAGGGTTTCAGGGGATCCGAGTCCTTCACGGAGGACTAGGGGTGACAAGGGAGCAGGCTGGCAGGGCCTCCTCAAGCACGCCCCTCTCTCCTGCCCCCCCAGGAGTGGCCGCGCTGACCTGGCAGCCATATACCACGAGCGCATCGACGTGGAAGGCCACCACTATGGCCCTTCGTCTCCACAGAGAAAGGATGCCCTCAAGGCTGTGGACACCGTCCTGAAGTACATGACCAAGTGGATCCAGGTGACACTCTCTGTTGGTCTCTCCCCCCACGCCCCTGGCATCTTCCTTCTTACCCTCCTCAGTGGCTGGTGGGGCCAGCGCAGGCTGTGACGAGTCCCTCTGCTTCACGCAATGCCCCCTGAGGGACAGGACAGCCCTGGGCCACAGCCAGGCTGGGGGATAGCAATGAAATGACCTAGATGTGCACCATTACCCGGCATAGGCGGAGACGGCCCAGTTCTTTAGAATCCTGATTGATAAGTTTGGTGAGCTCAGTGTGGACTGGACACGAGTTCCAGTCTCGATTCTGCCACACACTTGCTGAGTGACCTCACACACGTGTTTTTGTGTTTTTCTTTTTTCTTATTTTCCCATGCTTTATTTTTTGCCTCTGTACCATGGGCAGGTGACAGTTCTCATATTAGCCCAGAACTTTGCTGAAGAAGCCACAAAAGATGAAAACGGAGAGTGTACCTTGAAAAGCCAAAAGCACTGTGCGTCACATCAGCACGTACAGGAATGGGACCGTGCTGTCACACGCCCCTCCCCAAAGGGCGGCTGCTGTGATTGCAACTGTGTCTCATCAGGGCAGGGTAGTTTCCTGACACGTAAATTCAGAATTGAGAAAGTAACCCTTCTCCTACCATTCGTAGTTTATTGGCTTTTCTAAGTATAAGAGTCTCTCTCTCTCTCTCTCTCTCTCTCTCTCTCTCCCTGTGCTATAATGACTGCTTTCCCACCCACAGGAGCGGGGCCTGCAGGACAACCTGAATGTCATCATTTTCTCAGATCATGGGATGACTGACATCTTCTGGATGGACAAAGTGATCGAGCTGAACAAGTACATCAGCCTGAGTGACCTGCAGCAAGTGAAGGACCGCGGGCCTGTCGTGAGCCTCTGGCCAGCCCCCGGGAGACACGCAGAGGCAAGAGACACCACACCGGGGGCGGGGAGTGGGACACCCCCATTTGCCACCTCTTTGGGCTTTGTCCTTTTCTCATAGTTTTAACACAAACTAGGTCATCTGCCTCTAGAGTCATCAGCCTCCAACGCTGGCAGGTGACTTAGTTTGCCTCTCACTCCCTGAGTGACCTCTCTCAAGATGTTCAGCTTCCCTGTCTCTGTTTTTTCTTCTCTAAAATGGGCATAATGGTGTCAACCCCACTGACTGTTAGGAGAATTAAATGCGCTAAAGGAGGCGCAGTGCTCAGCACATGCACACGCTAGCAAGCCTCACTAGGGCTATTTTATTAGCGGCCCGAACGCAGCACTTCTCCGGCAAACCCGAGGGAGAGCAGGTGCATACGTAGCATGCTCTTCTCTGGGAGGAAGCTCCAAGCCGGGCCGGTCCCGGGGGGAACGGGGAAAAAGGGCCGAAAGAACGGAACCGAAGCCAACGGCCCAAGAAGCCCAACCTTTTCATCTCAGGAGCGACAAATCCCAGCTCCAACATCAATCAGAAACCAGACAAGCAACCCACGCTGGCCTCTGCCTCCCCGTGCGTGCTCGTGGTGATGCAGTCATAGCTGCCCGCCATGTAGAGGCGTAGAAGCACGTAGAAGCATGCTGAGCCCACTGCAAGACCACATATGTGTCGGTTGTTACGGTGACCCCATCTCAGGGGATGCTCCCAGGAGGGTGTGGTCGCACTCCCACGGTGTACAGACGGGGCAAAGCTCCCCTCCCCACAGACACTGCCTTGCAGGAACTCACACCCCGAGATGACCAAACCTCTACTTACCATTCCCTCAGAGCTACCATTATATCTGGCAGTAAGGGGTGAAGCACCCCAAGAAAAGGAGGAGGAGCACATGGCTCCTTTGGCTGACTGCCTGGCCTGGGTGTTCCTAGTCACCTCCAATACAGCTTTGGTGGCTTCTGCCCACTTCCATAGAAGTTCTGTCCATTCTGGGGTGCAGGAGCACAGGTGCCCACAATGCCACTGTCACCAGCCTGTCCCGTCCCCAGGGACATGCACCTTTCCATTTTTCTCAGGCTCCAAGGTCAGAAAGTGCAGGAGCAAAATGTGTTCATACAATGTCTCCATGAGCTCCCTAAATGTGAAACCAGGAAGAATATTTCACACGTTGGCAGGTTCTTGAAAAGTCCCGGGGGTTTTTTTTGGCAAGGAAGACCATCTTTGTCTCCATTTGGCGCTTAGGAGCGTGGTCTCCAGAATGCTTGGGCAGCAGCGTGTGAGCTGGGAAGAGCTTCTTCCCGGCGGTGTGTAAGTCGGGCCTTGCAAGCCGCCCACCCGGAGCAGTTGGGAGGTTACCCCAAAGTGGGGGCTGTGTTTGAGCAACAGTTTGTCACGCGATGGACGCAACAGTTTGTGAGAGCTGTTGTTTGTCACCAGATTTTTCACTTACACAGAATCTCTCTACAAACGCACCCTACTTCCCTTCGGAACTCTGGATTTTCTTAAACAGGAAATCATAACTCAGGGAGCCATCGGAAACCCTCTACTAAATTATTTTTCAGAGTTGAGTTGATAAACTCAATTTCATATTCTGTGATACCCAGGGCTATATGCCCGATTTAGCCAAAGGCCAAGTCAACATCAACCAGTTGACTTTAATTTTAGCCACAAATATTTCAGCGGCTGCTAACACTAGCGATACAACGTTTACGTCTTCATCATCAAATCAGCAATGGAATTAATGGCAAACAATTACTAGTTTTTTTAAAGATTCGTGTATAGATCAGATATGCCCTAGGTCAGATTAAAATAAAAAATCCTCTTTATTTGATCTTTGTGATATTTAAGATCAGGCAGATAAATGTCTCACTTTCCCTTTAGTTTTAGCGTGGACTTTTTGACATCCACAAGTTTTTGTAATTTGTTTATTATTGAGTGAGAAAAGAGCTATTGTAAAATGTGTAAGGTGTAAAGGATAATATTACAACGAACACTTTGAATCCACTAAAACTTGAGAAAACCGCACACTACTGTTATCTGTGACATCTGTGTGTCCTTCCAGTCACCTCTTCCACCCCCTCGGAGGCAACCACTGTCCTAAATTTTGGGTTACATTTCTTTAATTCTCTTTATAGTACTTATCATATGTGTTGTTTAGCTTTTTAGTTATTCGAACTATAATAGAAATAATTTTGTTCTGCAACTTGCTTTTTGTTTCTCAAGCTGAGATCCCTGAGATTCTAACAGATGTCTTTGTAGCCATAATTCATTCATCTTCATTGCTGTATAGTATTCCACTCTAGAACTACACTATGATTTTTTATCCTCCCACTGTTGCTGGGCATTTGGGCTGTTCCCATTTGCAATATATTAGCTTATTAAGTATGAAATGTCCGATTTCCTTAAGTACTAAGTTTGACAGTTGGTATCTCTGACATTTCACTTAGACAGTTCTTGTTTTAAGTTTATTGTGAAAGTACATCCTCAGTCTTTCAAATGCACATTTTAGCTTGTGATTATCTTTCACAGTTTTTTTTTTAAAACAAAGGTTGGGAAAACAAGAAGAAAGCAAAAATTTGGGGTAATTTCAAAACGTGACTTCTGCAGACAGCTCAAAGTAACCATGAAGTGTTTTGGAAGGATGTGGCTAAGGAACGCACAGTATGTCGATAGTTTGAGAAGTTCCATTCTGATGATTTTAATCTTGAAAATGAGCCATGTGGGTGACCTGAGACCAAGGTGCAAAATGATGAGCTGAAAGCTGTAGTGGAAGCGAGTCCATCTCAACCTACCTGTGAAGTAGCAGCAAGGTTCGATGTTACTATTACAACAATATTGGACCATTTGAAACAAATGGGCAAGAGAAAGAAACTGGATAGATGGGTTCCACGCGGATTAAATGAGCGTCAGAAGAGAAATTGTGTTGAAGCTTGCCTTTCTTTGCCGTCACAACATAAAGGCGAACAATTTCTACACTGCATTGTTACATGTGATGAAAAATGGATTCTTTTTGACAATCACAAGTGTTCGGCACAATGGTTGGGTAAAGATGAAGTGCCGAAACACAGTGTCCAAAACTGAATATTCACAAAAAAAAGCTAATGGTATCTGTTTGGTGGTCCTGCACTGATATTATCCACTACAGCTTCACGAAACCTGGCCAGTTGCTTACGGTGGATGTCTACTGCAACCAATTGGATGAAATGATGAGATGCTTGTGATTAAGCAGCCGAGATTGGTTAATAGAGACAGGCCAATCCTCTTGCAAGACTCCATGTCACACAAACCATGCTGCTTTAAGTACAGCAGCTGGACTTGGAAACTGTCATCCCCTGTATTCACCAGACCTTGCACCAACTGACTACCACTTCTTCCAGGCTTTGGGCCACTTCTTGCAAGGAAAAATAGTCAATTCTCAACAAGCTGTGGACAACGCCTTTTGCAATTGCATCACCACTCGCTCTCCAAGCTTCTTCACTGCTGGTGTAAACAAGCTACCATTAAGATGGCAAAACTGTGTTGATAGTTTAGGTGCATGCTTTGATTAATTGTACTGCTTCTTGTTTGAGATACAATAAACTAAACTTTTGATTCGGAATTGGACATTTCATAGTTAATGACCTAATATATTCGTCTGCAGGTGCACATGCATGAGGGTGTTCGATATATCCCTGGGAGTTAACTTGACAGGTCAGAGAGTGTGTGGACCTTCAGCCTTACTAGATAAGGCCATTTTGTTTTCTGAAAAATAGAAAAGTCTCTCATTTTTTACATAGTCAAATCCATCAGGTGTTTTGGTAATTTCTTTCTTTGGTCTTAAACTTCTCCCCACCGAGGTCCAATAAATATTCACATATGTTTAAGAAAGAGAGCACAAAACCAATCATGCTTGATCTTCTTTGCAGATATATAACAAACTGAGTGCCGTGGAACACATGACAGTCTACGAGAAAGAAGCCATTCCAAGCAGGTTCTACTACAAGAAAGGGAAATTCGTCTCTCCTTTGACGTTAGTGGCCGATGAAGGGTGGTTCATAACCGAGGTAATTATAAAATATATGACAATTTATTCAGTATACAAATTCTATCACACAGTCCAAAGACAAATGATAATTATTCAGTTTTGACATGTAAAAGATGTTTCCACCTAAGCGCCGTTCATTGCACCGTTGCCTTCTTTAGAGAGTCCGCAGGCTTGCTCGAGCGATGCTGTAGACGCAGCCGTAGCCCTGCACCCAGAGCCACGGCTTAGACTTCGTGGCTCCAGACTTGCCGTGTTTTAACAAACGGGCCTTAACTCGATTACCCAGGCTTACAACATAACCTGTTCAGTCTGAAGCGGAACAATTACTGCGAACCAAAGCAATCGCTCCAGGCAGTCAAAAGCAGGCAGAGGCGCAGCCTCGCTTCACCTTGCAGAAAAACGTTTGGCAAACGAGACTCTGTAGATCCAGGTCCCCAGCTTGAAAACTTGATTTTTACGGGAGATATTGTCTTGCATTTTGGGGCCAAAGCTTAATTGCCTCATGCCTGAATGACCTCAACAGCCTCCTCCCAGCCTGCTTGGACTCCAGGCGCACCTGGCTCTTGTATCCAGCTCAGGATGTTGGGCCGTGGCAGGAAGGCCCAGCCCCGCCCCAGGGGAATCTGCGGTCATGTCATGTTTGAAATTAATTCCTGAAGGGAGCATGGGGTATTTGAGACATGCATTTGAAGGTGGGTTGAGCAATTAGATGGAACTACAGGATAAAAGAGAATAGTGGGTTGAGGCCAAGGAAGTGTAAGACCCAGGACTCGTGAATAAGCCGGCAGAGAGCAGGTGACGATCAGCAGAGATGTGGATTAGGAAAGGGTTGGGAGGCTAGGGACACAGGAACTAGAGAAGTGGGGGTTCCATGACATGAACCTCAGATACTCAGGAGGACCAAGTGACCCCTGTGTGCCCTCAGACAAAGAGGAACACCTACCTGGTGCACAGCAGATCTGGTTAGACGCATCAGTTTTGCATTCAGTTTACTTTCTCACGTTGGCTAGAGGTAGGCATTCCCAGGTATGCTAACCCAGCAACTCCGCAATACCAGGTCTCTGCATCCGCTCACCTGCAGTTCCTTAGGCTTTCCCTTCAAGGTCACAAGGTGGCTGCTGCAGCTCCGAGCATCACATCCCCTCAGGACACCCCAAGGCAGGAAAGCAAGGTCGTGGTTTCTTCTTGAATGTCTCCTGCTTTTGTCGGGGAGCAAAATATATGTAGCAGAGCCACATGCAGGTTTTGTGAGACCCTGAAGATTATGGAATTTGGGTGAAGGGAAATCTCTCTTTAAGAAAAAAAAATACATAATTATGAACACAAAATTAGGTGTAGGGACCATGATGCTCAAACTTCTTTAACTGCATTGTAAACCTACTTCGGCCCAGAGCCCACTGGCAGCTTCCACTAGGGTCTCATCAATTGATGGACTAGGGTGGCCAGAAAATTCCTGCCCTGGGTCAGCTTTGGTTCTGAGACCTGACACAGTCTGAAGTGCAGACGGGAGGGCCACAATCACAAGACGAAAATGATGCAGAGGCCAGAATCAGGCAGATGGGGTCCCTGAAGCGAGAACAGCAAAGAGGAGGTGGGGAGAGAGAGAAAAAGTGTGCCACCCAGAGCACTGGGACTCCCGGTACCCACCAGGAAGCCCAGTGACAAGTCCGAGGAGCCTCCTTCTGCCCCAGCTCTGCATCCGTCCCTTCCCCGATGACACCCCTGCCGCACACTCAGCACTCTGTGGGGGTCCAAGTACCTGCTCCTCTGCAGGAAACTGGCCAGTTAGTGCCTTCTGAGGCTGAGGCCAGACGGTACATGTTATGTTACGTTATATTTCACTTTCGCTGGTACTGAGCAAGCACACACTTGTTTGAGTAAATCAGAGCTAAGAGTCAATGAATTAGCAAGGGCCACCCGCTATTGCAGCGTACGTCCTAAGGAGAGGGGAGAAGCCACCGGACAGAAAAGGAAGAATGCCGAACTATGGACAATGATCTGAGCAGCTTTGAAAAATATATAATTATTGCAAAAGGGACATTTGAGGTAATCTCAAAGATATGTGAAGCAGAAAGTTTGAGAAAAAAGAAAGAAATCGGAAATAATATAAATAGGATGTGAACAAACAAGATTAGTTCTGAAAGGTTAGTGTGACTCACGAATGCAGAGACTAACGAGGGCATCTCGCACACCGGGAGTTGGTGATGACAAGTACTGTGACACCAACCTCCGTGTGTCACACCTGGACCGTTAGAAACTTCAGAACGACCTCTGCCCCAGGGTCTCGATGACATGCACAGGAAGTTATTGTACATTTTGCAGATAGTAAACATATCAAGAAAAATTTCTGTTTAAACGTTGATCCACGACAACAACAACAATAGCTAACTTGAATAAAGTACCTCCCGGTTACTATTTCTAGTCCTCCCAATGACTCTACATTGTGGGTATTGTTTATTCTGAAAATAACATACCACCACATAAAATGGAACGTAAATGTGGGTTTGGGCTTCCTAGCAGCCAACCCAAAGAGGAAAGCACAATCAATTCTATTGCTACAACTTATATTGTCTATCCGTATGAACACAAATGTTTCTCTGGAAAATCATAATTGACCATGAGCCCTCAGAAAAATGTATGTATCTTTTAGTGACATCTATTTGTACCTTTGTAGTCTCCTAGACTGCATACCTTAATTGTTTTACTCCTATCCTTGAATTTATGGATTTTAAGACATCACATGTAAAAACTGTAATTTCTTTTTATTTTATTTTTTTAATTTCAGGATAATATGGGGTTACAAACATTTTGGTTACATGTTATGACTTTGCCTTGCCCAAGCCAGAATTTGGGATGTGCCCTTTCCCCATACAATGCTCACCAGGTCCGTTAGTTGTGAGTTTACCCACTCCCATCCCCCCAACCCTCAATGGATATTCCTACTGTGCGAGCACCTTCGTGCTGATCAGTTAGTGCAAGCGCAGCAGCAACAAAAATAAATAAATGGGACCTGATCAAATTAAAAAGCTTTTGCACAGGCAAGGGAACTATCATTAGAACAAATAGACAGCCTACAGAATGGGAGAAAATATTTGCTTTCTACACATCCGATAAAGGGCTGATAACAAGAATCTATGTAGAACTCAAAAAAAACCAAACAACTCCATCAATAAATGGGCAAAGGACATGAACAGAAACTTTTCAAAAGAAGACAGAATAATGGCCAGCAAACATATAAAAAAAATGCTCGACATCTCTAATCATTAGGGAAATGCAAATCAAAACCACCATGAGATATCACCTAACCCCAGTGAGACTGGCCTCTATCAAAAAACTGTCATTTCTGATTCTACCTTAATATATATAACATTGAGGTTTTGTTTTGTTTTGTTTTCTGAAAAATCCTAAAAGACAAGCACCCATTCTTTCTTTATTGGCTTAGACTTTTTTTTTTTTTAACATCATTCTATTGTTTGTTATACTTTCTTGGCTGCAGAGAATTAAAAACTCCATTCTATATGGAGTTCTTGCTCTATGCCAGGGCCATTAATCTCCCACATTCCTATCTGCAAAATTTCTCCCCAAATGGTACAAGAACGTCACGTTTGGCTCTGAAACCTACACGCAGCCCGCAGTGCACGCGACGGTGCTCCCGTGCGGGGTCAGTCACACTTCACATCTGCAGGGCGGCATCGTTGCCAGCCCCGGAAGCAGTCTCGCTGGGTCTGGAGAAAGACAGGACTGTTTTCTGGATTAGACATGATTAGCAGAACAGCTGAGTCAGGGCAAGGTGGTGCTGGAGGGAGCCCATAAAATAGAGCCCCACCCCCCCTTGCCTTCTCCCCCCAGCTGCCATCCCATCCAGATGTGCGACTTGGCTTCTTTGGTACAAATGTCATTCCCGTACAAACGCTAACTTTCTGCCACCAATGTAAGTCTCGCAGACTCTGAGGAAGCTGCTCTAACAGGAAGACTTAATTGAGTTCCTTTTTTCTTCTGGTTGCTTAGAGAGCTGTCATTGAAAGAGATAAAGACAGGGAAAGGGATTTAAAGTGTCACCTGGAATTGCACAATGATCCAGCCCGACTGCTGGCACTGCCACAAGAAAGCAAGCTCCCTGCCCGGGCCCCCCACTGTGCACCTGCCCCTCGCGGCTTAATAAACGGGCTGGGTTTCCAGCTGCTGTCAGTCCTTTCTCCCATCTCTCTCCTGAAAGGGCAGGAATCTGAAGGGGTTCCTGTTCCCAGAGCAGGAAAGAGGCAAAAACGCAGGCCACTTCCAAAGGTCCAGCCAAGCCTTCAGGGACAGGAAATGGGGCTTCCTAACTGATGCCCCACCTAAGGCCTGGTCACTGCCCTCTGGAAAGCTTTGGCATTGCATCTTCCTGCCGGGGGCTGAGGGCCACTCTTTCCTGGAGTACAGGAGCCCTGCATGGGTGGCTCCACTCGAGCTGGCTCACCTCCACCGGGGCTCTCAGTCAGCCGCCGGCCACTCCCTGCCCCAGGAGGGCTGGGTCAAACTGGGTTGTCACAATGCCTATGGGGGGTGGTCCAAGGACACTGAGGAGGCAGGGACAGCTGTGCTAAATGTCCTTGGCATATGGGAAAGGCAGGAACAACACGGCACGATGCCAAGTGGAGAAATACCGTGGGTAGTTTCCACCAAACTCAAGTATCCTCTCCCATCCTCAACCACAAAGGCTATGCGTAACGTACCACGCGAAGTCCTAATTCCATAGTGGGGACCCACTGGGAGTCCCTGCCCCACCCCAGGGGCTTACAGTCCAGCGAAGGAGCCAAATGCTAAATACACATGCAAGCCCTAAGAGTAGAGGAGTGCGTGACCGCAGAATGTGTTCGCTGCTGTCATGAACACAGAGGGGGCCATGAGAGACAGTGCTGTATCTAGAGGAGGCGGCCCATGTGGACGAGGGGTACCTCTGAGAAAGGGAGCTCGGCCAAAAACCGAAAAAAGAAGTGGCAAGGAATGGGCAAGGAAAAGCCGCCCCCCCCCGGAAGG